AAAAAAAAAAAAAAAAAGAAAAAAAACGGGCAACACAAAACCTTCGACGACTTTTTCTGAGTACCTTGGGTTGCTTCCAAAACCGTACCTTCAGAACTGCTTAAATTTTTTCAAATGAATACTTTTTTCTATCCCCTCAAACAATCTATTTGTACAGTCAGTTATCAAAATTAATATGCTCAATTCTGATTAAGAAAACTGAAAAAATTAGTCACTAACGACAAAGCCACGAATGTTACACGTTTGGGAAAAGAAGCACAGAGGAATTTCCGAAAGTTGTGGAGGAAAAACTGCCTTACCAACAGTGCACGCATAACGCATCGCGATTAACAACAGGAAGAGAACTTCAGCGACTGCAATTCATTAAGCTCAAAAACTCTTTTAAAAAGTTGAACAATTTTAGATCGAACAAAGACCAAATTTTTTGTAACAACAATGACATTAACGCCGTTCACCATTATAGATGGGACCAGATTTCAAACTCCTAAAGATAAACACAGCAGTTCCCCTGCTGATGAAAGTTCAGAAAAGCAAGCAACAAGCCAGTAATGATGGACCTTCATAGTGACACACTCAAAATTGAAAGTAGATAGCGGCGCAGACATCGGCCATTGCTCTATCATTAGGTAAGGCTACTCGGTTTGCATTACGTGATTCTTAGAAATTCGGGCGTATAAGCGTAAGAAAAGGCAATCAAGTCAATTTTTTGAATATGCCTGTGATAGAGAGTGCTCTCCAACACTACAAGCAAATTTTGAACCCCTTCCGTCAAGTCTTTTATACCGATTCTTTTTGGATCATTTTCAATTCTTCGTTCCTTGAAAATTCGCTCTTCTAATCTGTAGCATCCGACAGTCTGGCTTTCCTGTATCTAAGCAGTGTACTTATTTTTTCAAGTTCATGGCTTCCGAGTTCTCTTCAGTCGCTTTTCTTGTACACGTTCTTGTTTTACTGGTAAGGTAAAAATCCCAGCTGTAGCAAGTGGAACAATAAACAAGTGCTCGATTATGTTTTCTAGTCATAAACGGATTCTTAGATATAAATTAAGTACTCAAATACTCTTTGAGTTGTACTATTTGAGTTGTTGGGGAATATAAGGTAAAAAATCACACGCTTTCACACACCACCTAACATTACCAAACCAATTCCTCGCGAGTACTGCGTTGTCGGCCGTTAGACCCGTTCGCCGTCGACTAATAACTCTAGTTTCCACAAGCGAGTATTAAAATCAAGTACAGTTCTGCTACAACTTGACTGTTGTTATGAGCCACAGTTGCTGTCGTCGCTTACATTAAAAGAGTATACAAACTGAAGATCTTTCGAGGCATTTACAAAGCCACTAGATGAAATACTCTGCAAATAAAAGAGGTGTCAGATAGTCCGGACAACGCTAGTTTTTTTTTTTTTCACTGAAGCTTGGCAATTTATTAGTCCACCAATATGTCGAGAAAAGCTAAATACCCGTTAAAAGCTTCAAAAAAGTCATCCGCATTAAACTTCGCCTTCAAAAGGCTGACGTATTAGGAAAGGCACATCTTTCTAAGACGAAAAGCGTCCTTTGATCAACAGCACAAAATATATCCGCAGTAGAAGATTAGTCCTTACCAAGGACAGAAATGCAGACACATGTAAGAAAAGTGAAAAAAAATCTGCTCCGATGCAAAAATCAGCTTTCAAAATTTTTAAGAGCAGCGTTGGGAAACTTGGACGAACAGACGAAAGAAAAAAAAAAAGAGAAAAAACAAGAGGAGCCTTGATCAAGGGCAGCGCTTTCATCCTGTATCATCAACCATGAACCCAGGAGTTTCGTTTGTATTGAAGTCGTCCAAGATATCTTTCGAGATATTTTAGTAGCTTAGAAAGGATTTTGCTCGATATAATTTCTGAGCAAAAGTTGCTTTGTTTTAATCAAATTATTCATGACTAACGGGTTATAATTTTGACATTTATAATAACAATAATGGCAATAATAATAATATGGTTGCTTCTACAGGTATTATTAACTGCTGGTTACTGGTGGTTAAGGATGCACGCTATACATTCCGAAATAAGTAATAGAATCCTTCGAAATTTCTTTACTTTGGAAACTGCAGTAGCACCTGATTTTTTCTGATTCCAGTCCTTTGGTTTTTCATTATTGCTTGCTTCGTTTTCATTTACAAATTCCTTTTTTCTTTGCAGAAAGGATTTTCCAACACCATGATTTATTAACGCCAAATTAACTGAATAAAAACCACACAGAAATGTTCTGCTGAACAATTAAATACTGAACTCAGTCATTGCGTAAAAATACGAATTACACTTAATTAATTTTAATTGTGTTATGGCAGGCATGGTATCTCCCAACAGCGCTATTCTCTCTAAACAGCAACAAAATTAAGAGCTATTTTTTAACTCTCCTAGCCTCTAAAAGTAGAGTAAAGTACAAGGAAACAAAAGTCAATGTATATTCTCTCGAAACAATGTTTCAAAAAATTTGTCGACAGAAAAATAGATAATATCAGGGATGCTTCAACTCGGTCATAAAGATGAAAGTTGTAAGCAGTCCCAAACTACTGATCTAGAACTCCAATAACTAATATATATATTATGCTAATATTACATACTCAAGAATATTTCTAGCAGCAGAAGCCAATTCACATCATCAGTAAGTAAGAAGAAAGACATTATTACAAAAGTGCAAGCAGCTGACTCAGAAATCTCTTTTTCCATATTACGTTGGCGATGGTTTAATCACTTTGGTTCAAGACAAGAAAGTATCGCACAAAGTACAGTTAGTCGGCCACATTCCCGAGGAGTGAGCAGAAGGGGAATACAGCGCAGTTACTGGTGAACAGAAGTATACAGACCTATAAATATTTTACGCACCAGCACGAAAAAATTATCCGGGTAATAGACTAACAAGGGTCTCACGGCAACAAGAAATTACCATGAACTTGAACACCCCACCTATTTCAACACACTGATTACTTGTGTACTGCACTTGAAGTCTGAACTCTTACAGGTGTATGAGCAACTTTGGCCTGACAGTCTGTAACAAATAATTATTACGTAACTTAAAAGACTTCTAAAAAATTTTCCTCTCCTACCGGTGATACCGCTTATTTCAGAGTTCCGACTTTAATAATGAATCTATGGAATTTCTTTTCTTGAACTGCAAAAGCAGCTGAGAAAAATTAACCGTCGCAACACTTATACGCAATTTTCTGTTATCCTCCATTACAACAACACAGATAAATGGCTCCTCCAAGAGAAACAAACTGCTAACCAAGCCAATACGCTTTTATTTTAGGATTCACTTCTTCCGAAGGCTGTGAGCAATATAGGACAATTCCTGGTAAAAAGAGTGCGGAATTTTTTGTTTTATATATTCCTCAAAGTAATAACTGCATGAGAAGTTGCGTCAAAATTAATTCTTATGCTAACGCAAGTGTTTCGCATTTTCGCGTCTACGTCTACGATTAACTCACTCTTACATCAAGTAGATTAGGTGTCGTTCAACTAAAACAATGTACAGCATAAAAAAGTTCAAGGTGATGAAGTTTCTCAGTTGTTCTTGAAAAACAACCTCACAAATTACGCCTTAGCAAACTTGTTAGAATGCCTTCTGCCCTTCTTCTGTCCACAGTCCCATCGTTTTTGGCATCTCACTCAGACGGTCAAGTGTGTCCAGACATACTATTGAAATATCTGAATCATCCGCTCAAATGTGCCTAGTACCAATTTTAAAAGTCGTTGTTACTAACTAAACAAAAAGAATACCCAGATCACTAAAAAGTATACTAGTTAAACGAATGGCGTAGCTATACTACAAAACTGTGAGCAACTCCACGAAAAAAAAACGCTACTTACAAAACAACCTCACAAATCAAAAAAAGTATGAATAAACATTCTGTAGTATTGGTAGATGAAAGTAAAACTTGGAATGAATGCAGTCAACTAAGTGTTCCTCTCAAGTTTCGATATATATAATCATCGTACGGCAGCGTTACTTGGTGTTTCAAACTGTTTGGACAAGTTTAAAAACAGCAGTGAACCGGTAAGATCTAGATTGAAACCCCAAAACCTGGCTGCAGAAGAAAAGTTCCACTTTTTCCTACCTCGTATGCTAACTTCTTTGGTCAAGAAAAAAAAAAGACTGTAATTTAAAAACCGTCTAACAAACATGGAATACAAGACAGACAATAATGCTACGACCTACCAAACTACCATTCTTTGCTGCACATGAAACGTAAACGAATTCGCTGGGTTGAGGTGAAATGAAGGGATTTATGAAACTGATGTTTGTATCTCTGTTGTTACAACACTACTAAAACATTTGACTAATAAAAAATCTGAAAATTTTGGCATCTGTAACGTTTCGGTTTACAGGAGTATAACGGGCTACCAGATATATACTAAAAGAAGAATATAAAAAACAGCAGCGGTGGAACTGGCCATAACATTATAAGCATGTTACATATTTTTGACACGAAATTGGCTACTCACAACGCTATCACAGCTATGTACCGTCTCCTTGATCCTGATCAGTTTATGTCCAGCAATGTATAGAAAAGTTCTATTTATTTAAATTCTATTTAAAATTCTATAAATGTTGAAACAGTCCAAAACCTTCTGAAAGAAACTATGTTTACTAATCCTAGAAGCAAAATGACCACCTTCTTCAACTATTTCAATTAAATGTTCCACTATTATTCAGCGAGGTTTCTTTTAAAAATTTTTGTTCGCTACTTTTCACAAAAAAAGTTTTTGACGACAGAAAATCGAAAATCTAAAACCATTGTTGGTCAATAGAGGAACCAGCACAAGATTCACTTGAGTATGAAAATGTGGAAACCATGAACTACCTAACTTTTTATCATCAGGTATAAGCAGTAAAGAAATAACTTCTGACTATGTTAACGGCTTTATGTGCAAACTCTAAAAATTGCAAACACAAGCAGATAATGCAAAAAAAAAAAAAAACGATGCGCAAGGCTAGGCTGTTCAAAAACGACCATTTTAATCAAAAAATAAATGAATAACATAAAGTAAAAAATAAAAATAAACAGTAATAGTAAGATTAAGACTAACATCAATAATGGTGATAAAAACAATAAATATATAACAAAATACTAATTCTTAACTGTTCAATTCTCAAACATTTCCTTAAACAGAAACTACAGCATAAATGGTAGTAGCAGGAATGAGATTAACTGCTTTCTGATTACTGTCAGCCTCCCAAATGAAATTACACCTCCCCAAATCCAAAAGTTCTCTACAACAGCTGTAGCTGCTAGCACATTTATTCTCGTAAATAAATCCTCTAACCTGCTCAAATTTACAATTTATACTTTGTGAAAAACAGTGCAATGATTCGCTTTCTTTTTTCTAAAAATACAAACAGTCAAAAGAAAACTTTTTATTCTGATATCATATGCAAAAAAACTGGATAGTTTTTAAATTCTTAATATATTTTCCTACAAGACCACCGCTTCAGATTATTCCGTTCATTCAGTTTTTGTCTGTCAAAACTATTAATAACTCAGAAATATATGTCTGCCTGATGCTCATTTGCGAAGCAGATCATAAGTGCCTTCAGCAACAAAGTCCTGCCGCTTTCTTCGCTCCACAACTTCTATTTCTAGCCCAAACGTCAGCAGAGGATGACACTTAACTCGTAAAATTCCTGTCGTCAGACGTTGTTCAATTTTCTCCGCTGCGTGACGCCTGTAAAGACACATCGTATGCAGTGCCAACTATTGCTTAGGGCATACCCCTGGGGGACTGAAGTAAAACAGCATGCATAACCGGTGGTTAAGTGCTCATTTATCGTCGTGCATCAGGCTGGGAATGGCATGAAAAACGCCAGATTCTGAAAG